TTCCCTATCCTTATCTTTTAAAGATTTCTTTTTTTAACCTCTTGGAACAGTTATTTCATTGCTTTTCTCTTTCATTGATGTGATTTAGGACTGTGAGCATGTAAGTCAGACTGCTGAAGAGTTCTATACAGTAAGATGCCAGGTGGCAGATATGAAGAATATTTATGTAAGTAATGGCAGGCTGAGATGTGTAGCATAGATCACAATTATAAATGGGTGCAGTCAAGTATAAAAGACTGTACCATATGCTGTTGAATATGTTGATGCTTTCTGTACTCTAGTTTTAGTGTATTTCTAGGTTGATATTACGAAGTAATTTGGTTGAATTGTTTCATCTTTTCAATGCAACAAGCTATCAGCTGGTGCCCTTTGGAATTCACTAAAGATTATATTTCCATCAGTAATTACTACTGATTCACTTCTGTGTTTTAAAAATGCTATGGCTATTTTTTATATGAGAGCATTGTAAATGTTAAAAGATTTTACATATAAACATACAATTGCTTATTAAGTTAATTTAAAAGTTACACCAGCATGACTTCAGGTTTTCCAGTTTTTTAAACAACTATTAATCCCCACACTTGGAATTTGAAGTACTTGAATTCTTTGGGATGGCTTGGAATATTGAGTACCATTTTTCTGAATTGGTTCCTTAATTTTGTGTTTGGGTTAGGAGCTGGTTTTCCTGTCAAACTCTTCAACTCTTCTCTTAGTTCAGGTGCATGTTCTTGTGAACTTCTTGGTGCCTTTGACCACCTTTACTTTCATAACTTATGGAAATGGGAATTGAACTTACTGTAACATGGCAAAAGAGGGGTTTGTAAAGCAGGAAGCAAGCCATGCAAGCACAAGATATAAATGTCTAAGATAGACATAAGCTCTTCTCTTTTTTTTGTTTGTTATGTGTAGGAATCTCTTGATGAAGTAACTATTAAAGATACCTTGGAAGGTGACAACATGTATACGTGTTCTCATTGTGGGAAGAAAGTGCGGGCTGAAAAAAGGTATGATTAAGAAGAAATAAACATTTCTAGTGTTTCTTTTTAGTAAATTACTGAAATTACTATTGGAATAAGAGTAATCCTTTAGATGAAACAGGATTCATTCAGTGTGCTACTGTGTATGCCTATGAGGATGTGGTCCTTGTGCAGATGAGCACATAACTAAGAAATCAAAGTTACAAAACAAAGAATATGAGGTCTCTCAGCAAGAGATCACCTAGACAGTAAAATGTTCGTGACTTTTTTTTAATCGAAATAAAAAGAAATTTGTAGAAATTAGTATCTTTTGAAATCTGTTACTTCTCCTGTTTTTAAAATATTGCAACTAACAAATCTCTTTTTTAGAGATTAAAAACCTTATAGTTGTTTTTGTGGCTGTTAAAATGACATCAGTGAGAGTAACCTCCTTTAAAATCATTATGATGAATTTCATGAGACTTAGTACAAGATATGTTGTGCATTGAAACTTGTCAGTTAGAAGATAGTAACTCTGTCTAATGAGAGGATTTGCATTGTTAAATTCATTCATTACTCCTTTTACAATGCCGTTTTAGAAAACTGTCTTTCATGCCATATGAGTAAATACAGCGTTTCTTCCAAGGCACGATGATAGGCTAAATAGAATTTTTCAATAGGCTACATTTGACCTTTCTCCTGCCAGTTAGACTGCCCTGCTCTACGGCATTACGATAGCTGAATTTTTGTATTTATGTGACTTAGCAACAGATTTCCAATTTCATATTTGAAATAAATGTGTTTAACATCTTTGTGAAAATACAATTCAACCTAGTAAGCTTTTGTAAATCATGATTCTTTCTAATCCGTCAGGGCATGTTTTAAGAAACTACCTCGTATCTTAAGCTTCAACACAATGAGATATACATTTAATATGGTAACCATGATGAAGGAGAAAGTCAATACACATTTTTCATTCCCTTTACGTTTGGATATGACACCTTACACTGAAGATTTCCTCATGGGAAAAAATGACAGAAAAGAGGGTATGTCTCATAAAATGAATTCAACAAGCTTTGTCTCTTTCATCTGTGTACAGCTTTCTGTATACATAAGTAAACAATTAGTGATTTTCTTTTTAAACAAACAAAATCAAACATAGTTTTAATCGACCTCTGTTCCCAAAGTCACACATTCTATTTAATGTGAGAAAAATAGCCAATTATTTTCGTTTTCATGTACGGTTCAATTTGAATTATTCTTAAATTTGTTTTTAAAGTATGAGAGAAATTACAAATAGTTACATCCAGTTTGTTGCTGGTCTATTTTGATTTTGCAGAGTAATACTTGAACTTCAGCAAATGGCTGACTAACTGCCATCATAAATAAGACATGCTAACTTGGAATAACGTGGTTATTAGTCCTGATCTCTTCAGTAGTGACATTTTGCAAAGAAAGCTGTAACTATTTCACAAGAGTTGGGATCTCTGCTGCTTGTTCTGGGTATGGAGTTTCTGACTGTCACCGTTGTGCAGTGCTGAAAAGAAAAAACATTAAGTGCAACTACAGGAAATGTGTATGTAAGACACACTAATGTTCAGGTGTTTAGGAAATAACTGATGAAATATTGTATTAAATTATTTCAGGTTTTAAGGAAGATGGTGACTATTTGAAAGAAACTGAAAGTTATGAATATGATCTGATAGGCGTAACGGTTCATACAGGAACAGCAGATGGTGGACATTACTACAGTTTTATCAGAGATATAGTCAATCCCCATGCGTACAAAAACAACAAATGGTGAGTTATGGAAAACAACATTTTACAATTTCTTATTTTAAAATAACTAAAACTTGTTGACTTTGTCAGATGTAGTTGCATAGGAGATACGTGCTGTAGGTTCCACTCAAAAGCACAAGATGTTGGAATTTGGAAGGTGTAAGTGTATTAATTTATTAGCATACAAATTTGTGTGCTGTAGTTGTAATAGTTGTGGAGTGCATTGAGCACAGGGGTAACAGGAGAATGCCTTGCTGGCCTCTCTTTACAGCCACTGCTTGTTTCTTAACAGGACTATCAGTGCCGCCTGTATGTTAATCTATTTCAGTACAAATGAACAGTAAGACTTCCTGAAGACAGACCTTCATAAAATCTGGTTGTCACCTTTGACACGCACACAGCTAGATTTTTGATTATGGAATTAGGTCCTTTTCATTTTGTCCATTTTCAGTGAAATAACAATTTGAATTTTTCTTCACTTTAAACTCATTGCATCCTGTGTGGTGGAAATGATGTTACAATACCTAGGTTATCTAAATCTGTTCTTACTGTGCTTTTCATATGGAATTATTTTCACATTTTATTTTTAAGTTTATTTAACTGGTGATATTTTCCTCTTGGCCAGCTCCTCCTAGATGCAATTTACAGTGACATACTGGAATATTTGACAGCATTTATTTTTCTATCCCCTCTTTTCAAAGATTAAAAAAAGAGACAGGATCTTCTTACACAGAAGTGATAGATAGATGAATAAATGCTATGCACTATTTTCTTTTTTAAATAATTTTTTAATTTTTTTATTATGACATCCCACTTCTAATTTGGAAACTTCTGCATACATGGGGCATATCATGGTTGTGAAGAGGAAGAAAAAGTTGGGAGAAGTAACCTGGGAAAGGAATGAGACATGGCCATGGAAAGGAGTAGGGTCTTGCTAAGTGTTACAAGAAAGTAGGGAACACTCTCTGCCTGTCATTTCTGGATGTCATATCTCAGATTCTCAGGCGAGGCCCTTGAGCAGGAGACAACATTCCCTCTATTCCTGTTCTTTAGAATAGCTAGCTGAAGCATTTCTGAAGCAGTTCCAACTCATGACCTAATCCCAGCTCCAAAGGGAATCTGTAACAGTGTACCATCTTCTTTGCCTCCTTCCATTTTGAGTTCTACTGTTAGATGGAATGATTCTCCTCTATTTAATTTTGATTACCATTTCATGCAGATTGAAAAGGAAAAGGCAGATAGATCTCGGCTGCATTAAAACCCTAACTGTACCAGAGTCAGGCTGGAAAAATGAGGAAAATAATGTATTTCTTGATAAAAAGAAAAACTAAGAACTGTTGAAATGCTGATTTCCTGATTTTATTGAAAGGGAGTCACTTTTGAGATCAGTTTTTAGCTTGCTGCAATTCAAACAAGACATTAGAAATTAATAGGAATACTTAGATCTGAAGAATCATTTTAAGTCCTCTTTATGCTTTGTTTGCCCTTAGAGACAAACAGCGGTTGTTTACAAAGCTTACTGTTTTACAGGTATCTTTTCAATGATGCTGAAGTAAAACCATTTGATTCTGCCCAGCTTGCCTCAGAATGTTTTGGTGGAGAAATGACTGTAAGTTATGACTTTTATTTTTGTCATGTTAACCGTTACAATATCTGTTCTAAAGACTTTTGTGAAGGATTCTATAGTGTTCACCTCTGGTCTGCTATCTATTGTGAATGTATATGAAACAGTTAGAAGTGTTAGCTGGGTTTTATTAAACCTTTGACATCTCTGTTGTGCAAGTGATACTTTATCTTATGTTCGTGTAGATAGCTGTTCTTCCACCATCGATCTCTTCAAAGGGTGTCCCCCTCCTTTGGGGGATGAAAGACTTGGCAAAGTGAGATTGCTTGCAAGCTTTCTAGTTTTTCTACATTTTCTGTAAAACAGAAGTTAAGAGGATAAAGGAGAAGGGTCTTAATTTCTCCTATACCAACTGTGATATTACTTCATTTGTGAATATGAATCCAAGTATTTTTATGTGGTTTTAAAAGACAAGTGTCAGAAGTATAGCGTAGGTATTGCTAATAAATCAAAATGAACTAGTGGAGTCTCTCTCCAAAGAGGAGGTATTTCTTCACTATATCTGTTCTTTATCATCATAGAATTACATTATTTTATTAACTTATTAAAAAGTGAGTACGCAACTAATTTAGGAATCCTTCGCTTGGATGACTGCTTTGCTCAGACTATTGACTGAAGGAATAATTACTCCAAGTTTATGCCTGTTCTGGAAGAATGGGGCCTTTTGATCTTTGTCTATGCCTTGTGCCAGTAATTTTCACATTCTGGTCTGTGAACCTCTTACAGTCAGATCCTTTTTCACTGGTGACAGAACTGAACTAGAAACCTGTCAGATCTGTGTACAGCTTATGCTGTTATTCGGCAGGAAAGTTTGAGCTCTGATGTTAGTAAGTGATTTTCAAGCTAATAGATCTACATGCTTAAATAGTTTTATTTGTTCTTTTTATCGTAAGAAGATAAAATTTCTTAAGTTGATGTTTGCTTGCTTTCAGTAGCGCAAGGTTTTTTTAAATACAGTACCAGCTTTGTCTTTTGGCTCAGCCCACTGCCCTATGACATCCATGTGAATATTTTTATGCAGTAATAATACAAATAACTGTTGAACAACACTCAGGCATTCTCAGGTTATGCTTGAATTGATTTTTTTTTTTTAAATATAATTATATATT